CTAAGGAAGACATATGAATAGCCAAACAACATATGAAAAAAGTTCAACATCCCTTATTACAAGGGAGATGCAAGTCAAAACAACAATGAAATACCACCTAATCCCAGTCAAAATGGCTAAGATTAAAAATATTAAGAATGATAAGTGCTGGTGAGGCTGTGGAAAAAAGGGAATTCTCCTACATTGTTGGTGGGATTGTAAATTAGTACAGCCACTGTGGAGAACAATATAGAGATTCCTGAAAGACCAACAACTAGAACTACCATATGATCCAGCAATTCCACTTCTCAGTATCTACCCAAAGGACAGTAAAGCACTCAGTTGGAAAAACACTTGCATATCCATGTTTATTGTGACATTAGTCACAATTGCTAAGACTGGAACAAACCCAAATGTCCAGGAACAGATGAATGGATTGAGAAAGTGTGGCACATATACATTATGGAAGATTATTCAACCCTAAGAAACAATGAGATCCTGGTATTTGATAGGAATTGGACAAAAATGTAAGATTTACTGCTAAGTGAAGCAAACCTTTGAAAGAGAGGCATTGTATGTCCCTACTCAATATGTACCAAAGGTCTTCACTCTATGGAAGAAACTGAAAGATTGGAAAGTATAAAGGCATAGAGAGCAACTGTGGATACTAGAGACAGTGTGGGGAGAGGGTGGGAACTAGGGGAGGGCAAGAGTGAGGGAATCAAAGGGAAAAGGAAGAAGCAAAATATTTAAGGGACACAAAAATTGAAAATAATCAATTGATGATAATGTGTATGGTGATATCTCTGATTGAACCAATATACAGTGTATTCAGAATGGGAAAATTCATGTTGCATGCTCTACACAGTGATTGAATGTTAAAAAAAAAGGCATTGAGTGTATGTCCAACATGGCATAAGTTAATGCATTGTCTAAATCTACTGATCAGAATAAAATTGTCAGCTTTATCAGAGAGGAAACCTACCACACTCCACATAAGATGGAAAGTGCTGGGTAGGAGACAGCAGTGGACTGAGAGCTTGACACCTTGGGATCCAACCTTGAGTCTCCTCTATCTACCTATGAGTTCTTGTGGTTGGTTCTCTCACTTTACCCTCAGAATGGAAAGACCCATAAGCTGTCTCCCTGAAATATGAATGAAACAGCCGGGTGTCCATCCACCAAGCACTATTGAGTTTTAAGGTAGTCTCCATAATCAAGTTACATAAATGTGCTCCTGTTGCTGGGATGAATTTTCACCACCTCTTTTGTAATGGGCTTTGCATTTTTCCCCATTTAGTATGTCTCAAAGTAATTCTCTAATTCTGAAGTTTAACTCATTATTCCCTTATTCTGGCCTCACAGGAGAGTGAGTGCTCACTAACTAGCTTCACGAACACCAACAACCCTCTTCTTTCTGGAAGTTTATAAGTGATGTCACACCTTGCAAAGCCTTCCAAAGGCTGCTTTGATGCCCCTTTGAAGTGTTGGAATATCCGGACCACCTCCTCATAACATCTCACACTGGATTCTATCTTGTCTACTTGTCTGCCACCCTCCCAGCCTCATGATCAAGAGAGCTCTTTGAGAAGGGCCCGTGAAGCTTCCCCCAGCAGACAGTAGATGCATGTAACCATATAGAGAAAAGTATTTAACTGAAACAAATCCCTAAAATAACCATATGAGGGCTAAAATCACTTTTGCTCAATTTCGAGTAGTGTTTCAAAAGATCTGAAAGAGATGGATGCAGGCTATCCCATCACCAGTTTCTTGCAAATATTACCTAAAGAGACAAATGGCTGCTTGCTTTCATTCAGACTTGAGCATGGAAAACCTGAGACCTACTGCTTCCAAGAGTCTAGTGACTCATGAATCTAAATCTGTATTGGAGGTTATAAAAGAAGATGTTTTTCTTAAAGCCTTCTAAATTTTGGTATTTTAATATACATTGAAATGGTAATTAATTTGTATCATTTTTCTAATTTTCTAATTTTATAGTTTTTTGAGAAAACTAAGGCTCAGAAAGCCAGGTAAGATGTTCTTTGTCAGAAAGGAGAGGGACAGGCATGTGAATCCATCCTGTCTGACTATGAAATGTAGTTGAAACTCAGAACTCTGTATTGTTAGCTTGGTAAACTCTCCACCCAGAACTGATGGGAAGGGGAAGCAAGACTGAAAGCGAAGAGACAGGGTAAGAACTACAATAATCCAGGTGAGAGAGAAAGGTGGGGATAGAGGCAGAAAGTTTCAGGCACAGAAAATGAGTAGGAATTCAACATGAAATACCTTTATGGACATAAGGTAGAGAGAACCTTCTCTGGCTAGCTTGAGGCCTGGGCAGGTGGTGACATCGGTCACTTGAAAGAGTAGGAGTGTGAGAGGAGAGAGTGTGAGAGTGTGGAGCGTTCTGTGCTCCCTCCACTACTGGGGTAGGTAGGCAGTTAAGGAAGTGAATCTGGAGACCTGTGGAAAGGTCTGAACTGTCAGCTTTTGGCAGAAAAGCGTTCCTTATTACTGAGCAGATATACAAGTGCTTGCTGAAGCAATGACTCATCTGCTCCGATTTATGACTGTTGACTTTGCCAGTTGAGCCTTCTTCACTCTCAAGCTCTCACTCCTAACATTCCCTGTATTCTCGTCCCCTTTGTTCTCTTTTCTGAGGACAACACCCCATGTGCTCCCCCGGATCAGCATGTGAGTGATATTTTATTAAAAAGAATTTTTTTCTACCCTGGGGCTTGAGGAGACAAAGAGAATTCACAAAGCTCCGTGCATTCAAGGAATTATACCAAATCCCCAAAGCATTTCCTTACACATTCTAAATCAAGTGGTTGGCTTTTAAAATGGGAACCTACAATCTCTTGGCCAAACAAAAAGAGAAAATAAAAATAAATAAATAAATAAAGATAAGTGTGATTTATCACTCCAATCTTATGGTCTATGTAATGCAGACATTTCGCCCCAGAGAATGAATAGTCCTGTTTGCCTTGAAGCAGACTGTAAACAGTTGATTCGTGACTGGACAACTTGACTTTAAATGGCCTGTGACCAACTAAAATGACCACCACAGAGCAGCTAGACATTATGCTTTATATCCCAGTAACATATTTAATTGCTCTGGAATTGCTTCATTCAATCTGAGGACTCCAAATTAATCTTTTAATACAAAACTGTAGGAGGCTGTTGAATCTTAAAATTTTAGATGTTCAAATGACTACCTCAAGGGCCCAATCTGCTGTAGTGTTTGCAAAGTAAATATATTCCAGCTTTGTCTTTATCAGCAAGTATGATTGTGGACCATGAGCGAAAGACCGGGCACCATCCCAACCATGAATCCTAGGTAAGCTTTGTGTGGCTCAAAGGACTTGTCATATTTTTGATACAAGGGCTGCACCTAATAAATGCCATCCCTTCCTCCTACACAGATGATGCTAGAACTGCAAGGTGAGGTTTTCAATGCCGGCCAGTAAAATTCAGCATGGCAATTTTACTCAACAATGGAAAAAACTTAGATGTACAAGAGCCTCATAAAACAAAACTGACAGGAACAGGATCCAGGCCCTGAAATCTGCTCTGGAAAGGCCCCCAAATTACTTGGAAGCAGACCTCAAACTAATACTGAAACAAAGTTGACCTTGAGGTGTGAGCCAGAGGCAAAGCCAGACTCTGGTGAGATAAACCAATCTGTGATGACGCTTTACTGGGTGTTGTACCCACCATAAAGGGTGGTAGGGTTGCTGAGGGTGACCCTAGTGACATTTGACAACTGAGAAACTGGGTCTAACTGGAGTCCTTTGGTAGTTTTATCCTTTTTAGGGGGGTTTTGGGAAAAGTGGAAGAAGAGGAGGCTGATTTCACTGAGGTGGGGGTCATGCCTGGGAAATGATACAAGCCTGAAGATGTGGAAAGCTGAAGCCGTTCCAGGGTCTGAGACTGAAAGTCAAGGCCTTCTGAAAGCCATGAGAAAGGGCGTGGGGACGGAGAGCTGGGCCCACAGGGAACTTGAACAAGTGAAGTCCACTCCCAAAATGGAGGTTATTTTCCTAATGCTTTGTCAATTAAATTGCTTTCTGTGCTATTTTCTCTCTTTACTCATTTCAGAAAAGTCAATAACCAACCTTCAAGGACCCATTTTATTGGAAAAGCCATCTTTATCCTACTCTAGGACTGGGAAACATCAAAATCTTCTCCTGAGATTATTCAGGTGTTGGGGTCATGAATGGAGAAAAGGAGCAAAGGTTCTTCCCTGAGCTATGCCAGTGAGAACCACATTATACAAACTGTAGTAACCACCAGTTACTGAGTGTTACAACGACGAAGTACTGGACTATGTGCTTCACGTCACTGTTCATTTCGTTCTGGTATATATCTCAAAATGAAGAAGTCTTTTCTAAATACAGAAACCAAAGTCGTGAGATGTTTATAAATACTTATGGTAACCCAACAAGTAGAATCCGAGCCCAGCTTAACCACCTCTGAAATGTGAGGACCCTCAAGCTGTGGTCAAGAGAAGGGTTTATATTTCAGTAGGATTATAGAACTTACATTTTGATCTCCAGTGTTTCAGTTACCGTGAAATGAAGGGCTCCTCGTTGACCCTGATGGTTTGAGTTTGATCCCCCCATCACCGTTGACTGGGGGACTAAATACATTTTCTCATCTTGTTAGACCCCACAGGATGCCAAGTATATCTGATGCTCAACCTTTGTGAAAACTCCCTTAGTGGCTCTGTTGACTGCATACTTAAAGTGCTTCCACCAGTAAGGTCCAGGGACAAAAGCATCAATACCACCTTCCGACTGGCTGCAAATGCAGACACTCAAGCTCCATTTGAAAACTGCAGAACTGGAAATATTTCAGATGAGGCCCAGCACTCTGTGTGTTCACCAGCACTGCAGGTGATTGGATGGATGTGACAGTTTGAGATTCACAACTCTACAGCATGAGGAGGGGAATTATTTTTTCCACATAGAACACATGAATTTTAAAAGCTTTTTCATTTCTTTAAAGTATGTTCTTACCTCATTTCCAAATCTTCATTCTCTTGTGGAATAAATTTATACAAGGCAACGTAGGTGTTCATCTGTAATGGGTCTTTGGAAAAAGGTCCCTAAAAGAGAAAGAAGAAAAATGAGAAGACAAGGATGGAAGGATCTAGAGAGGAAAGAAAAGAGAAAATGAAGTTACTGAAACGTAATTTCAGTGTATGGATCTTAAGTGTTAAAATACTTAACCATTATAATTATTATTATCATTACTTTGCTAGAGGGCTTGCTTGTTTGCCAGAAGGACACAGAAAGAGACACAAAGAGGAGAGGAAAAAGCCCTTACCATGGGGAGTGGTCATGTTCAACCCCCTTTCCTCCATTTCTCCCTCCTTTCTGGACTTTGGGCATGCACACACACATCCCTACTATGTTGTTCAAGCCATGAGGGCTGGGACTTGAACAGCATAGTAGGCCATGAAGGATCCAGCTGCCTTAACCACCAGGCTATGCAGCTGGCTCACTGTTTAGTCATTATTAAAGATTTTCTTTCAACTTTAAGTTTATTTTTAATTTCTTAAATGAATTTGATCTCATGACCAACCATTCAAAAACAATTATTGGGAATTCTTTGTCAGAAATACCACCATTGTCTTCAAATATACTTTTTCTTTGACATAGTTATTCATGAAAAATGAAACAAGTTTGGCCCCAGGGCTGAGACTATTCTCTCTAAAGAAAGAGGGACAGGTGAATAGTAATAAGTGACAAATAAATAAAATCTCAGTTCCTGGAATTGACTTTTCTCAGTTAGCGTAAAGGTTGGTATCTAGCATAATGAAAGGTACTGTATATATTTATCTGGCAATTAGTTCATTTGCATCAAAGACAAAACAGTATTGGCATCAAACTAATTTGGTTTAGATCATGATATCACCAACTACCAGCAAGGAAACCTGTAATAATGATACTAAGAGCTACAATTTTGGGTAGTTTACTGTGTGCCAAGCGTTATGTTACATGAATTTGCATAATTTAACTTCACAATAACCCTGTTAGGTAGATAATATCCCCAAGTCACAGACCAAAAAATAGTCTCATAAGTGCCATATATGATATTAGTTATTGTGACTAACCAAAACATGCTCCTGCTCTATAAATGTTAACAATTAGGGACCAGCAGTTGGCGTAATGGCTATGATGCTGGACTCCCATGTAGTCGACTGCAGTTTGAGTCCTGGACCCGGTGGCTTAAACTCACGCTGGGCGTGTGTGCATGCGTGCCCAAGATCCCAAGAGGAGAATGGAGGAGAAGGGATTGCGGCGTGGCCATCCACCCAGGGGGTGATTTCTCGCTTTCTATCTCTCTGTCTCTCTCTGTCTTTCTGGCGAGTGCATGAGCCATATAGCAAAAACCTCTCCAAAAAAAAAAATAATATGAGTTTAAAAATGATATAATTTATAATTGTGTAATACATTTAACTATATAATAATATAACAAATATATACTATATATGTATATAAGCCATAAACAAAGGTTGCACAATATTTGTATCCTTTTTACTTATGATTCATGGTGTGAGTCAAAGCTCAGATACCTTTTATTGTATTATTCTATTCTATTTTAATTTTATATATAGGGGCCATCAAAAGTTCATAGAAAAATAGGGATCAGTGGATGGCATAATGGTTAAGTAACTGGAATCCCATGCAGTTGATCATGGTTTAGGTCCCAGGCTTGGCATCTTAAAATTCATGCCAGAAGCGTGTGTGTGTGCATACCCAAAATTCTGAGAGGAGACTGCAGGAGAAGGGAGTGCAGTATGGCCAGCCCCCCTGGGGTGGTGATTTCTTGCTTTCTGTCTTTCTGTCTCTCTGGTGAGCTCATGTGCCCTATAACAAAAATCTCTAAAAATAAATAAAAGAAATAAAAATAAAATTTAAGTACGAGTTTATTTGGGTGCAACATTTTTGAAAGTCATGCATAACTTTTTCATAATACTTATTTTCCTAAAGTTTTTGAAGACCTTGTATATAAATAAACATATAAAATATAATAACTATATACTTATAAACTGTGTAATTGTAATAATTGTATAATTCTATAATTTATAAACTATATAGTATATAGCAACTTGTGTAAAACATATGTAGCAGAAACAAAAGGTGCATGACATCTTACTTATCCTTTTTACCTTTTGCTATGTATACTTCTGTTTAGGCCGTGCTATTATGCTAGGGTACATTATGCTACATTATTCCATTCTTGTCTTTAAAAATTTTGGTGTGGGATCCACCAAGTTTGATCTAAGGATTCCTGTCTGATCAGTCTTCTGTGACAGCCATAAATACCTGGTTGTTTATGTTCTTTGCTTGGTCTCTGAAATCATCAGTGCCATTTTCTGGATATGTAAACACTGAAGGAGAGAAGAGAAAGCAATTGCTTTAGGAATCCAGTCATCATAGTTTAGAAACAAGTCCCCCAAATGTTGCTTTATTTATTTCAGGTATACCAGCTTCTATTTCTCATCTCTTGGGAATCAGCTTCCATGCACTCACCAACTTGATGCTGCTCTGCCTCCCCTCCATCCTTATGTACCACCTGCTCCCACAGCCTTTGGTTACCATGTATCGCCTGGCATCGCTTGGCAACTGTGTGTTCAAAACTTGGTCTCATTTGGCAGGGTTCTTCTCATTTAACTTGGTGTTTACCAGTTTAACAAGAGTAGAGACCAGTAACATTGTTTTCTCCCTGGTTTTGTGTGACTATCTGAAATCATGGTATAAATACCTAATTCTAGGAACAGATAGCCTCGCCATTCATCATCACTGAGTGTATCAAACCACTTGTCAAAGGGGATGGTGGGATAAGGTGAGGCCCAATTTAGTTGCATTTCTACTACCTTTCCTAAAAATCAGATTCTTTAATCTCGCTTTGATATATTGATTCTAGTTTCTTAATATTAGAGTCTACACAGGGTCTTCAATATGTTCGTGGAAAATGTGTACTTGAAGATGCTATAGATGATTTGAAATTTTTTTTTGCACTAAAATAAACTCACACTTAAGTACTCTCATATTTTGAAGGTTAGGTTAAAGCTTTAGTTTTAAACTTCAAAATCTTCAAAAATAAGAGATGGACTAGCCACACAGTCTAGTGGTTAAGGGAAACCAGAACCCACGTGGCTGAAAGTGGTTTAAATTACAGCCTTATTGGCTTGAAAAACACACAGGGTACATGGGTATGCCTGCCTCAAATTCCAACAGGATGGAGAGATGAAGAAGAAGGAACACACTCCATTGAGAGGTGTTGAGAGGTGTTCCCCACTCCTCATCTCTCTCTGGTGAGTTACATGCCCTGTGGCAATTAAAGTAAAAGGAGATAATTGGTCTCTTTTGTCAATGCATGGGACTTAGTAGTAGGATTTGCTTATACTTTATTCTTGGAATATATATTTTTAATTTTTTTGTATTTAATTTTTGTAATTATTTTTTGTATTTATTTGATAAAGAATGAACTTCAGAATATGTGAGAGTTTTCACTGTCCACATACCCTGCTGTGGGAGGTCCCAGATGGATATAGAGGCTCTGCCTTTGCTAGCTGAACAAGCTGAATCTACCCCTTGACCAAGCATCATAACCTTGTCATTTTCACTGCATGTACCCTCCTTAAAGAAAAAATGTGGCAAACGTTTCCAGGTTTATAAAGTACACTTGTGGTGCATAAATTAACTCAGGATATAGATGGCATGACTTTCTCAAATAACACACCACTGCTTTATTCTTCCCTCTGATTTCCCTTTGGATTGTCGAGGAATTATCAGTAGAGGAACACACTATGGAAAGTTCTATAACCTGTGGTGATAGCACACTGACAGTCTCCACTGCTCTTAAATACCATGATGTAAAACATGTGCTTCAAAACAGGAGCCCCTGTCCACGTACTGATGGCTATTAAATATCTGCTCTCCTCAGTCATAGTTTCTGAGCATAGGATGCAATTCCATTATCCCTAGGAAGCCAAAATGCAATCACTGGTGGAGAGCTGACTTGTGGATAACTTCCTGAGAAATGAAGGTCCACGTCTATGGACCTTGTCTACCTTGGTATTTGGTCATTTAACTTGGTGTTTACCAGTTTAAAAAGAGTAGAGGGAACCAGCAGTTAGCGTAATAGCTATGTCGCTGACTCCCATGTAGTTGACCGCGGTTCGCGTCCCAGACCCGGTGGTTTAAAAACTCACGCCGGGCGCGTATGCGTGTGTGCCCAAGATCCAGAGAGGAGAATGGAGGAGAAGGGATTGTGGCATGACCATTCTCCCTGGGGGATGATTTCTCACTTTCTGTCTCTATGTCTCTCTGTCTTTCTGGCAAGCGCACGTGCCCTATAGCAAAAACCTCTCAAAAAAAAAAAAAAAAAAAAGAAAGAACAAAAAAACATTTTTTTCGTAGTTGACCGCGGTTCGCGTCCCAGACCCAGTGGTTTAAAAACTCACGCCGGGCGCGTATGCGTGTGTGCCCAAGATCCAGAGAGGAGAATGGAGGAGAAGGGATTGTGGCATGACCATTCTCCCTGGGGGATGATTTCTCACTTTCTGTCTCTATGTCTCTCTGTCTTTCTGGCAAGCGCACGTGCCCTATAGCAAAAACCTCTCAAAAAAAAAAAAAAAAAAAAAGAGTAGAGACCAATAACATTGTTTTCTCCCTGGTTTTGGTGACTATCTGAAATCATGGTATAAATGCCTAATTCTATAAGTATAAAATTAGATGCTTAATTAGATGCTTACGAAGAATATTAGATATTTAAATGAAAGTATTCAAAGAGAGTCTTTTTGTTGCAGATTTCCGCTTCTATGTTTAAGAGGAGGGCGACTACTCAGTGGTATTTCCTTTCTTTTGCTGCCCTTGTTTGGTTTTGAAGTCAGCATTATACTAGCCTCGTAAACCAAGGTAGAAAACGCTGCTTCTCTTCCTTGCTTACTCTTTGTTTATCTGAGAGAGCCTTCATAATCTGGAAATATTTTATTCCTTAAACATCTGGTAGAATGTACTTGTTGTCCAGCCTGGTAGTTTCACGGTGCAAAATTTTAAATATTGATTCAGTTTCTATTAGGATTATAAGCCAATTCAATTTTTTTTAAATTTCTATTTCTTCCTGGGTCTAGCCTTAGCCACCATATCTTTCTTGGCATCTGCACGTTTAAAGAAGTTTAAACATTTATTGGCATGAAACTGGTTGTGAAATCCTTTGATTTTCTTTTGGATCGCTATTATGCTCCTTCTTTTTTTTGTTACATCTCTTTTTCATTTAAAAAAATGGTTAGATTATCAATTTTATCCACTCAGGATTTAATGTATTCCACCCAGCTTTTAAATGTATTTTTAAAAACCACTCTGTTTTAACTGTGTTCCAATTTTATTGTAAATTCCTTTTGACACATAAGCTTTTTAAAAATGCATTTTAATTTCCCAAATTATTGGTTTTCCTAGTTATCTTTTGACTATCTGATTTGCACTGCAGTGAGAAAGATAATAGTAATTCTTCGAAATTTATAGGTCTTGCTTTATGGCCCAGTAGGTGATCAGTTTTTTATGATTATTCTATGTGGTCTTAAGAGAAATGTAGTATGAGTCTGTTATTGTGTGGCTAAACAGAAAAACCCAAAACTGGGTGACTATAAAGACTAAAAGTGTATTAGGCTCATGATTCTGGTAGCTGCAAAGTTTGAGAGCATGGTCTTGGCATTTGGCTGGCCTCTGGTTGTGAGTCACAGCATGGCTGAGAGCACCTGGGAAATCGTCAGCCAAAGGCAGAGAAAGAGAGGGTCAGAGGAAGAAAGAGGAAACAGACATTTCACTTCCTGTTTGTCCCTCCCATGCTCACTGTTGATTGGATGGCCCTTTCTCATTAAGCTCTGACACTTAAAGGTCTTAGCACTTCTCAAAGCCCTTTTATTGGGGGCTACGTGTTCAGAACAAGAACCTTTGGAGGGCAAGCAGCATCAGACCAGATTACCAGATTTGGGCCACAAAGCAGTGGTTTGCTGACCTTTACCCTAAAGCATGACACCCTCCATTCTCAACTAACTTACTCCTCTCCTGTCTCTCTGCTCCCAGTCCACCTTATTTAAAGTAGGGGACCCATTATTGTCTATCTCAGCTTTTTCATGCCTCAGTAGCACTACTTGCCATGGTTAATGATCACATCTTGTTTTTGACCGTCTCTTCCACTAATTTCCTATCCAAGGAAATGCTTGTATTAAACATTTTATCCCTGGAGACCAGCAGGTAGTGTGGTGGTTAGGGCACTGAACACTCCCATATAGCCGACTACAGTTTGAGTCCCAGACCTGGTAAATAATTTTTGAAAAAAACTTTTATCCCCAGTACCAATGCACATCAGGTACTCAATAAAAATTTGCTGAGTTTGTTCATGGAAAAAAAAAAAAATGGCAGCAAATGTGAATCCTCCATTTGCTAGATGGAGTGTCCTTTCTAAGTCAATTAGAGTAAGTTGGTCAAATGTGTCATCACATCTTTTACTTCTGTACTGAACCTGCTTATCTGTCTGATTTGCCAGTGATTGAGGGATGCATTAAAGTCACTCACTGTAAAGAGGAATTCCAATCTTCTTAATAATTTGCTCAATTTCTTCATGAGTTTCTATTATTTTGAGTCTATGTAAAGGGCCTATCCAAGTTTAGGATTTATATCTTCTGATGAAGTGGACAGGAACATGTAATAATGCTTTTTATTTCTAGTAATGCTCTTTTTGATCTTAAAGTCCATTTTTTTTCCCACCCATTAATATAACTATGTAATTTTTATTTTACTTGTTATTGGCCTGTGTGTCTTCCTTTCTCCCTTTTGTTTCTATGTATGAAAAGTTCTTTATTTTGCTTGCATTTTTGTTTCCCCCACCATGTGGTAACTAAACATATTTTTTTTACTTTTCATGCCCAGAGTGAGTTTCAAGCCACTGGGTCCGGGCCTCAAACCATGGTCAGCTATGTGGGAATCCAGCAATGTAACTGCTATGCCATCTGCTGATTCCCAAAAATATTCCTTCATTTTTCAACTTTCTATATTCTTATGTTTTAGATATTTGTAAGAAGTACATAGGTCATTAAAAAACTACCCATTTTCCAGAATTGTCTTCCATCGTTTATACCCAGGGCCTCCTATTGCCCAAGCTGAGGCCCTGGGAATATGGAGAGTAAACTTTGGCTTTCAACTGCTCATGTCTCTGGGTTCATGTTTTGCTGTCATTTTTAGACTCTAAGGAATTGCTTTAGTTTGTTTCCAGCTCAATCATGCATTACCTAGAAGTTTCTTTTCAATTTTTTTTCCGAATGAGTTTAGAAGTGCTAAACTAGGGAAAATTTCACTGAACATCCTGCCCTCCATATTGCTGGAA